CACAAACATTTTACTTCAATTAGCATCTGACATGTTTTTATTTCCATTGCGGTTCACCAACTCGTGCACTCTTTCTTTCACTCTCACATTACTCGTCTCAACCCAAGGGTATAGAATCAACTATAGGCTATATTTAAACGGCTAGCGATTCTACGTTGCTGCGAGTTCGATTCCAGCACAGTACAAATGCTTGTTCTTTCGAAATTTATGTATGTATACTATTTTTTAGTATAATATTACTAGAAAATAGTGTTTTGTGGGTGACTTTTCTAAAGAAAAAAACACGATCAATATCAGCTGCTGCTGACATCTTATAGATGGTATTTATGGCATTTCGTGTATATCACGCACATGTCAAATACTCAAACGGTAGATGAGGAGTATGGTCAAATGAGCGAGGCTCTATGAACCGCAATCGTCAATCGGCTTACAAAATGTTATTTACTTATCTTCACGCACAATCCCTGACGGGGTGGCCAGAGAGAACAGATCGCCAAGTGTCACCATCCTTACATACCTCTTTCGCTTCTTTCAGATTCATTATCTTCTTCATACATGCACGTCTAGGTGTCCGAGTACTCTTGACCCTCCCCTCTTCGAGTAATTTGCTCACATGGTCTTCGAAAGTTAGTCTCGGTCTACCTCGACACCTTTTAATATTTACTTTCGCGCTATATATTCTCTTCACCATTGTAAATGTAAAATGTAATTTTGTATTACGGTAAAACCTTCATATGGTGGGAGAGATCTCTGCCGTGTTATGAATGTTCTGTCTTAGAATAACACGTACATTACTGTGCCATGTCTGGATCCAGTTTATTGTTTAAAAGCTGATAACGATGTAAATATTTCGCTTGTATACCTATCCTTTGAATTGAGTAGGTAAGCAAATAAAATCTTAAATTATCCAGACTGTGTGACTCAAAGTAACACATTAAATTAATATTACGAGTAATTATAGGTATTTCAGTTTGACGATAATCCTTGACGTAAACCGTAACAAGTATTGTATTTCTATATTTGTACAACTATTACGTCAAGTATTATTAAACTAAATCTAATTACAAAGTTAGTACGTATAAAAAAGTATAATTGTAAAAATTGCCGTAATTCTGGTAAATAGGTGTTACTTAGCATCCGAAGATTTATGAGATAATTTTGTAAATTGTTTATTAAATATATCATATCATATCAAAATGTAAAGAAAAACAATAACTGTTTATTGTTTTATGTTGTTACTGTGTCAGCTAATCTCATCTAGCAGATGTTTTTATATATTAACAACTTAATACTGGAGGGATAGTTTAACTTGTCCCCGAAGGTGGCGTAGGTTGTCTGGGAAATAAATTTTTCAAAGAAACATATATATGAAATCCGCCATATAATCTAGTTATTATTTATATTAATTTAGTTTCCGCTCTATAACACCCTCAAAATATGACGGTTATGTCGTATCACCATCATCATATTCATTACAGTCCATAAAAAGTCCACGCTGAACATAAGCCTCTCCTATAGAGTGCCACGAAGCACGGTCCTGAGCTACCTGCATATTTTACAAGGTTATTGCTCTATCTAGCATGAGAGTCTGTCTCTTGAGAACATTTTTGCCCCATCGATTGTTGATTCTTCGAGGCTGACTCATGGCTGGCCCATTGACAATATTTACTCTTGTTCTTCTCCAACCACTCACTACATGGATTATTTTTTATTTCTTTGATGTACCTGTTAGTGCATTTTATCTATATATTCTAAAATGTTTGAAAAAAGGCTGTCAAAGTATCAGTTATAATCCATTGAGTTATATGTACTACGTACTAGAGAAGCCATTCCGAACATTGACTATGTTCAACTGAACTGTAGTGCAATCCATACAAACTAAATATTGCATAAACTGAAGATTTGTGAATTCCATAAAATAATTATTATTACATTTTATTTAGAAATATGTTTGTTTAGATTAAATTAAGATATTTTATATTAAATTCTTATATTTATTTTATATTAATATCTTATTTTATATCAAATTAAAGTCTTCGCTCATGCGCGACTACTAATACCGCACATGCGCGAAGACATAGAGTAGGACACAATTTTTGTTTGGAATGGCTTCTCTAGTACGTAGTACATATAACTCAATGTTATAATCAGTCTATAAAATAAAGTAGGTTTCCGAATCCTAAATTTATAGAAAGTTTCTTTTAACATTTCTTTATGCATTATTTAAAGTAAGGGCATCTAAAACGTATAATAATATATTCGTAAGGTATTTTACAGCAACATAATTAAACATAAGTAAATTTTTGAAGCAGTATATTTATTTATAAAATAAAATAAATATTTTTTCATATACTATCTACTCTGTAAAACGAAACGTTTTTGAATTATATACACGAGCCGTAACTATGTTTTACTAATTTTCTTCATTACACAAGTTAAATGATGCTATATAAGGTAATATATCGTAATTCTAGGAAATATTTGATCACGGGATGTCCTGAACATTAACGATATTAATGTTACGTTCCAAAATTGATTTAACACCGTCAACCGAGCGGTTTCCTGTTATTTTTAAAGGGTTGTCGACTGAAAAGTAAATCTTTATTTAACTTTTGATTATACATTAGGAATGTTTTTCTGAAGAAAATGATTACTGGTTTATGGTAGTTGAAAAGCTTTTACAGTTTTATTTCGTTCGAGATTTTCTAATTGAGTTCAAATAACTTCCTATACCAAATCAATTAATTATGAACGAAAGAGGAGAAAACTTTCAATATTACGCTTCTGCATAATAAAAGTTTAATCTATTCACTTTTATGTTAATATTGATTAAAATCTCGAAATATATATATATATACACTAACTGGCCAGGCAGACGTTGTTCTGCCCTTTTCGACGACCCTTCATATAAAAATCCTTAGATTCGTAATAAAAAAATATTGAGTGTCACTTATCAGGATAGAAGCTATCCTATCTCTCAAGTTGGACCAAACTGCACAGAGTGTGCAAAATTTCATTGAAATCAGTTCAGTAGTTTAGGAGTTCATCGCGGACAAACAACGTGACACTTAATTTTTATATATAAAGATAAAGATCTATATATAATTTATATTGCTCTTCACTGTGTAGTATATATAATAGTAGATTCAAAGCTTCAGGATAAATTTTATAGTCTTACTTTAAAAGTCTTCTTTCTGGACTTGTTTTGAAAATCAGCACGAATAAAAATATTAAAAATAAGTCGTAGGCTCGTGGCAAATATACCTTTGTTTCATAGCATTTTTTTTGAATAATACAGAGGACGAAGATGACTCAAAAATCTGTATCACTTCACTAGAAATATAATTAAAATGAAATCTAGTAACATAGTAAAATAAACACAAATACGTGTAGATTTGTAAAGCATAGCTCCCCTGGCCTGGTGCCTACAACGAATCACTTCCTCGGGAAGTCATTTCTCAGGAAGTGGGGTATATTTGCAGTGTGTGTGTATGCGTGTGAGGGTGTGTAATGACAATAAACTGTAACGAAATGAAAGCTGTTAGTAAATTGAAAACTGTTTGTTTGTCGCTGTAAGAAACTAAACTTTCGTTTGTTAAATTCGATGTGAATTTTACGACCCAATACTGAAAATAATAAAATGTAGAAAAATGTTGAAAATGACATTCAATACGTATTTTTTTTTATAGATCGACGGAACTATCAGGTATAAAAGATAATTAAATATTATTCTTTTCTTTTTTATACTAATCTATTACCGCTTTAAAATGAGATTTTTCGTAAAATGGCAATATAATATATCATTATTATAATGATAATAATTTTAAGTTCTCTATTAGCCAACTACAAAAAAGGAAGATGTTTTCAATTCGATCAAAAAAGGAAGTTTTTATTTTGTATGTGTATGTCATAAGATATCTACGCCAATTGTGAACAGATTTTGTAATTATTCTTTTTAGAACCGCCTTTTTGAAGTGGGCTAATAATTCAATATTTTTATTTATTTTTTTGCAATTAAATATATTATGCAACCACTGGAACTTCTCCTTGTAAATATCAAATGAATAAGTGGCACTTTTAACAGGTGTTTTTAATGCTGCACAAAAATAAAAAATTAAGTTTTATTTTTGCGCAGTTAATAATTTATTATCTTAAATTTTTCTTCTTTATTTTTTAGTGTCTATGTGTTTTCTTGGACGTAGAAGATATGATCCCAATTTGACAGCTTCTCTAAGTTACCTCTACTTGATGAAATATTAAATTGAATATGCGTTTCCGCCAGAGGAGAATTCTTTTGCAGAAGAGGTATTCTTTCCAACAAAAAGAGAAAGTGCAGACTATTGATGTTAAGTTTATTTTTATTTTTATAATCAAAAGTATAAATTAGATTTTTAGAAGCGAGCCATTCCATTGAAAAGAATGGAACATCGAAAGTAATTTTTAACATTTGTGCCCGATTTAATAGGGTTAATTGGTATAATCGTTGTCGGTGACACATTGTGGTATTTTTAAACAATGGCGGGTACTTTAAGACGGTATTAACTGGTTTCGTAACTTATCTGACTCAGAAAATTAATTTTTAATTAACAATACGTAATAGCAGTTATTACTTAGCTATTCGATCTTATTATTACTATTTAAATTAGATATCATTTTGTATGCTTGTGATATTTTAAAACATTTACATTTGTATGTTTGTAATGAAACATAACATGATTCTTATAAGTTAGTAAATGTTATGGTAGGCAGTATAATTACTGGATGCTATAAAATCATCTAGAGCTACATTACCGCTTCTCTACTCCCATTCAGTAAAAAAATTCCACCTTCGTACTCATTGGCGATAATGCACTTGTTTATTTTCATATATTTTTTGGGGCTAGTTGCAGTTGCAGGTGTCTCTGGGCCACTTTATTAGGTGGAATGGAAGCTATTTATTATTTTAGTGTAATATTAAAAAAATATCCATAATTTTTTAAATAATATTATAAAACACTTACCAAATATTATCGCTTAAAATGAAAACAATCCAAGTTATTCAAGACACCAAATCAATTTCAGTCCAATACCGCCGTATTTCTTTAAAAACACACAGTAACACGTAATAAAATGTTGTCGTTACAATAACCCTTATAATATAATTTACTGTATCTGTCATTACAGAAAAAATACTTATGAACTCATTTCAATTTCGAAATTATGTAAAAGTTATTCGCGCCAATTTTCGTTAGACTAGCGTGCGTCACAGACGGCGATATCTATCACACTGTCACACTGCGAAAATGAATACAATACTGACATAACAACTTCAAGCACAAGCGGTAGCTCACAATGCGCTCACGCATTGTACGAGGAGAGTAAACGGGACAGAATGACTCACAGCTGGCTTCGTCATTCATAACAAATTAAACAACCCGATCTCGCTATTATGATGTCATACTAGAGTCTACATTTGTAGGAAATACTACGAACCATCACAATAAATTTATCACGAACTATTATCTACTTTATTTTGTAGTGTTAAGGTTGGTTTTTTATTATTGTTCTGAGGTTTTACGATTTCGAGATCGAAAGGCATTTAAAATTACTTACCTGTTTGGAATACAAATTGCGTTAATAATGACGACCGGGTAATTGGAGATATTTGCATTTTTGCAGTCGATATCATTTAAATATTGTTAATTTTACACCTATAAGAGAAAATAGCCTTATTGTAAAATATAGAATCGTATTAAGCCATGTAGAGGGCCTAGTCTAGCCTAAGCTATTTTAATATCAGGGCAAGGGGCTTGAACCTTTTTAACAAACTTAAAAATAACGTAAAGTATGGATCTGAAACGTGGTCCTTCACTACAGGAGAAGTACGTATGAGGGATGATAGGGAAGGAAGGTTCTCAAGTGACATCCTCGTACCGGTAAGCGAAGTGTATGGCGGTTCACCATTAGATGGTGTGATGAGCTCTTAAAAGATGTAGAAAGGTGATTGGATGCAGATTGCTCAGGACCGTACTTTCTTGCATTTTTTTTAGGGAGGCCTGTGTTTAGCAGTGGACTTGTGATTGCTGTAATGATGATTGATGATGATGAAATTAACTAAAACACATTTTTTTGATGTTGTAGGCCCCTTAAGAAAAGCATCCCAGGCAGTTACTTTCTTTGCCTTCAAGTTTGCTCTGGAAATAGCACTACTACTAAATACAGCTTAATATTAAAAACGAATATCATTAAAAAAGGTAGAGTCTCAACCTATATACGTATCATTGTTGGGCTCAAGCATCCTCTCAATTATAAGCGCAATTAGTCCAGTGCGTGTGCACTTCTCATGAACTCGAAATATTTTATTGGTTGTGGTAGGTGGTGGTGGTGAAAATCGCGATTAATAATTTTATTGGTGCCGACGGGAATCGAACTCGTTGCCCATTTATTGTAAAATTAATACTTACTGACTATATAATAAAGACACTCACTTTAATGTGAAACATAGCCATACATTCATTGTATGTGTGTAACACTTTTGGTGTTTTTACTACAAAATAAAATCATTAAAAATATAATATGTATTTTTGAATATTGCATCTCTTTGTTCCTGGGTCGTATAACGCAACTAGTATTTGCGTTGAGAAGATCCCACCGAAAACATAAAATGCGAAGAGGGCCAAGTTTGGTGCAAATGAAACTTCAGGACTATGCCAGTAGAGTTCAGATCTGAACGGGTGTCAACGGGTGGGTTGGCACTATCTAGCTCCATAGCAGTCCACTAAATCATAGCTATGTACAAATGTGCTTCAATAGTTTAAAATAATTTTTATACGTTCGGTGATTTTGAATTTAGAACTTCTTTAAGTTTTAATGGTCAATAAATTACGTTTGACGTGATGATACTCGTATTTAATACTGGCTTAAAATTAACTTTTTAGTTGATCTGTGGACAGTATATAATATTACACACTGTCGTTGCATCGTCTTTTTCTTTGCCGAATTTGGCTGACACACTGACTTTTAATGTATGACTGTCAAAGAGCAGGTTTCGATTTGGATTCCAACAAAAGAAGATATTGCACTAGGCAAAAGAGAGCTTGGATTCTTATACATTCATATATTCGATATGTATTGTATGTATTAGAATCTTTACTAGTCAATCACTTTCCGCCGGATATGGAAAAGAACGGAGCTCTTGCATTCGTTCAGGATGACACAATAAATTTAGCTCGCCGTAAATTTAACAGTAAGCGAACAACCCGAGTTCGATCCCCGTAGGAGCCAATGAAATTATTAATGGTCATTTTTAAGTGCTTTTTGATTAGGTCACAGTTCCGTGATTTATCATGGAAAAATTAGGGATGAAACCTGCATGGCTTAGAAAAAAAATCTAAGGTATATGTTGTGTAGTCTATAAGCAATGGAGCACCCTGGCGGACTAACTACTCCGTAACCCTGTCAGAAATTAGTGGCGGCTTCTGCTAAGCAGTAGAACGTATAAAGGCTGTAATTTTACTTTTTACGTTTTTATGTCTTTTTACGAAGGGACAAACAAAATTACGGTTCACCTGATGGTTAACTACTGCGGCCCATGGAGATCTACGACCAAGTTCAAATAAAGAAGGCTACTGATGGATACGTGCGTGCGAAGAGATGAAGGGTAATTTTTCAATTTTAACATAATTTGAATTCTTCAAACATTTGGAGACATTTCTTTTACAGGAATATTTTTTTTTTTATAGGATCGGGTGACAAACGAGCACACAGTCCACCTGATGGTAAGTGGTTACTGTGACCCATAGACATCTACATCTATCCTCAATAAAGACTCAAGATGCAGATGCGTTGTCACCCGTGAGGACTAAGATGGAATGCCTCTTTGCCAGTAAAAAGGGTCTCCGGTTCTCTACACTCACCATACGAAACACAGCAGCGTTAAGCTGCTATTTTACGCTGGTTTTCTGTGAGAGCGTGGTCCTTCCCCGGTCGAGCCGACCCAATCGTGCTACAACCATAATATAGCTGCAGTATGGCTCTACCACGTAGAAGGTAGTGGTTGTGGGAAGAGATTTAAAATTTTATTAAGTTTATTATTTATAGCATCCTTACATCTTTTTTCTTTAGCAGTAAACAGTAATAGGGAACGTTACTTACATGTGGTTTATAATATATTAAGTTGTCGGATCGTGTAGACTCTACATTTTTTGTATAAATCGCATGATGGAAATGTGTACAAGTGAGTAGGTGATATTTTGAGTATAACCCGTTGAGCTCTTTCCAATTTTAAGACAATAGACTTGGATGTTCCTCCCCAGACTCCGATTCTTATTCCGATACGATTCTCCGATAAAGATTAACAGTGTCAGATATAATATTAGGTCTTTACCTATAAAATTGCCGTTTTTTTAATGAAATAAGGTAACGTAATTTTTTTTCTATATTTTTCATTTCTATTATTTAAAGTAATCCCCACGCAATCGACGCATCTTTGCCAATAAAGTGGCAATTTATTGATGCCCCTCTTGCAGAAATCAGCTGGACGACAGGCAATAGATTCTTCAAAAGCATTTTGTACTACCTGTATTGAATTTTTTTCCCTCCAAATTCTGGAAAAAGTAGAAATGTGTAGGCGCAAGTCTGGTGAGTACTGTGGATGAAGAAAAGCTTCTAACCCCAGCTCTTGTATTTGGAGACCATTTGTTGTGCAGTGTGAGGTCGTAGTTGTTGTATGCCGCTTGTGCCGCGTTGCTGCCACGACGGTACTCATATTCCATAATTACTCGAATTTTTAACGAATCCATGATAACGAAAAATATTCAAATGCGATGAAAACAACGTTGATCAATAAAGAAACTACAAATTTTGAAAAAAAAAATGTTTTTAAAATAAAATTAATTTGAAATTAGAATAACTTAGCTAAACAAAATTTATTTTGTTTTGAAATGGTCAGTACTAATATAGTAATTACATTGGTAAAGACGTATTATTCTAATAATGTTCGAATCAGCTAAACTACATAAACTCTTAAATACGAATATACACATCAGTTTGCGAGTTCTACATGTAATCATTTCTACGTGGCTGATAAAGTTATGTTTAAGATCTAAGAGAACTCTTACGTCTTCTTAATAACTGGCTTTACGGCTCTGGAATCTAGCCCTTCTGAGCCTGAAGTTACAATATATTATAATATCCTTCATAGTATACTGCTTCACAATATGTTGATGCGTCACATTGTGCAGCCCTTGGGAGATTTTGACGGCAACTTGAGCCAGCAGATAGCTGACGATTGGCGATGGTATCTCAAGGCGCCTAAGCAGACAGACACCTTATTTTGAGAATCATATCACCATCAGAGCACTTGTTTCACAGTTTCCACTAATAGTTCACATGCGCAGACACTTAATACACAAAATCGCATCACTTTTACATATCAAAGTCCACTTCAAACCATTATTTAAACAATAATACAGGAGCAGCAAACCGCTGCCGGTCTAATTCCCGCCAAAATGTACTTTACCACTTACAGAATACTTTACTGTATTCAACTACTGCAATTTCAGACAATGAAAGAACAACTGTATGCAATGAAAGACAAATGAAGAAATGTGATATAATCTATAGAGGAAGAGCTGGTATATTTATTTTCTAAATATTAGAACGTTATTATATAAAAATTGGGTAACCAAGCTAAAGCTATTTGCTAACAGTGCAAGAGATCTTCATATTTGTCAGCATGAGAAATAGAGCAGTGTCTACAAATAATGTAATTTGACCATTTGGTATCTGTAATTTTCATAAGTTTAGTTAGTTAGTTTCACATATAAACTAATTTTACGAATTTTATTGGGCTTAATTTTAACTTTTTAATTTTCGACGTTTCGGTCATGGTCACTGAGGAACTGAGGTATTTGACGTCTCGATGTTAGATAGATAGATCGGCCACCTTCACTTCTTGAATATTAATTTTTGGTTCAATTTACGCAGAGCAAGGTTACAGTATTTAGGAAGCACCCATCCATCTTCTCTATTAAAATTAGGATGTATGTTTTAATATCAATAGGCTCGCGAATCATCCTCAGTAGGAATCGATGTTCTTTTGCTAGGATTTGTAGCCTATCTATTTTGATGTAATGGATGGGACGATCTTGGCCATGTTGACATACTGTAGAAAACCCAATGTGGGTTTATGGAGAAAGAGGGACTCTTTATGATGAACTCTTTCGTTCAGAAGCGGCCCCACAAAAATTGGACCTGGTCGAGCCTCGAAGGTTCGACGAAAAATTAGA